CTTTAAGAGAAACATCCAGAGGTAATGGAGATTGATGAAAGATGTCACAGTGTTTGATAGCAGCCACGCTGAGCTTGATTCCCTAATCTGAACTGAGCTCAGACGCCAGACTTTGAAGCTTTTCATATTCAGGTATCTGACACACAGCTGCTCCTCTGTCTTAGTCTGAGAGACGTGAAGGGAGCTCCAAACAAACCCTGCTGTGATAATCTACACTGTGTGTTAACGGTTTTATCCTGCCTGCAGATTTCTGAGGATATGGAGACAATAAGATCAAACCGTACAGCACATATAAAAACGCTCTGAGCTCTGAGGTGAACTCGCCTACAGAAGGAAGTCTCCCCCGTTTCCCCAAATATTGTTCCTCTCTGTGGGTTATTTAGAGACCAAAGTGTTTCCTTGGAAGGTTTGACGTCTCCACATGAAATAGGACACCGGGGTAAGATTTGTGTCAGGAGAGCCGGATTTGAATATTAAAACATTTTGGGGGAAATTTTTACTTTTTTGTGTCTCCAACTTTGGATGGATAGAAAGTTCACTCTTCGATCAAACTGCCAATTAGAAACAGACGCGCCCCTCTCACTATAGCACTTAAAGGGATACTGCGGCGTAAAATTAAGTTAGGGTCAAACACCGTGACACAGAGTTAGGCCCCCCCCTCCAGAGATGAATGTTGTAGAGAGACCTCAGGCCAGTCCATTACGGACTACAGCGGGGTGATGCAGCTCAAGGAAGAACATTTATGATAATTTCTTTATCATTTCCTTGGAGTAATAATCACCACATGAATCATTTTGCAGACGCGGTAGTTCTTCTACCTTAGTGTCTCAGTCTGATTGCATTTCCATGAGGAAATGATCATAAATGTTCTTCCTTGAGCTGCGTCACCCCACTGCAGATGATGGACTGGCCTGGAGGTCTCCGTACAAACATGCGACTGCTGGAAGAGAGTAGGTGAGTTGTGTTTAGTCTCTTTGCTAAAGAAATTAGTCAAAGTTAAAAAGATGTTTGGTGTCTAGTACTATGGCTGGGACCCTATATGTCCTGTTGATGAAGTTAGGTGCTGTTCTGAGCATTATTTGTGGCTATAGAGTGGCGTTTTAGTTGAGGTTTGTTTATGGCTCCTCAGACCACTGTGTATTGTTATCCTGCGACCGTTGCTACAGTTGGTATAACTAGAGAAGTAAGCGGTCAGCAAAGATAACTTTGTCTTATCAAAGTAGACATTATCTTTAGAATGACTAGAGCACTACTTAACTCAGATCACAAATATTATCCCTGCAGAAAGAAATCTGTTATTGAGAGGGTCTACTTAAGCTCTTCAACAAGAAAAAGAAAGAAGAAATTAAAAGAGAAAGACAGTGATTTATTTTTTATTTTTATTCCAGTAACCTTGAACAAAGAAAACCTTCAATAATTCAAAGATAGAGATCTGTGGGATAAATATTCAAAGAAAGAAATTCTTTAATACTCTTTATTTTTTCATTTGTGTGAGCTTAAACAGCTTCAACTAACTCTGAACTTTAATTCAGCAGCAGCTTTGTGATTTTTAATTTTCAGCATGAAATTCCAGAGAGAAAAGAGGAAGGAAAAAATGTTTTTGATAAAAGTTAACTTATTCACAACCTGAACGGGTCGCAAACACTGAAATGATTGAGCGTGGTTCTAGTCCAGGCAGGTAACAGAGTAGACTTGCAGACAGTTCAGCCAATTCTGTACATCCAGTCATTCTTAGTCGAACATTAGGGCCTGTGTCCATTAACAGCTTTTTTCCTTACGTGCCTTTTCTCTGTTCAAAACCAACACAGCATGATTACAATCAATGTCAGCTGTTCTTAGCATTAACGCCACTTTTCATTTCTCTCTCATCACTCAGTAAAAACAAAGAAGTGACTGGTCTCATCTCGCTCTCTCTCCAAACAGCTGATATTTACATCGCTGTAACGCCTCAACTTTAATATAAATGTCTCTGGGTTATTATAATCTGATAAAAATGTCCCCAGGCCGCGGAGCAGGTAGGGCAAAACAGCTGTGTGTGTGTTTTTACCATAACCACTTCTTAAAACAACTTTTTTTGTTTTTGTGTTTTAATTAATTTTGTTTTCTGAAATATTTTAGCATTTCACAGCACAATTTTTGTTTTTGAAATATTTTTGTGTCTAATGAAATATTGAAGCATTTTGTGAAATGTCTTTGAGTTTACTAAAATGATTTTGCATTTGTGGAAATACTTGCAATGACTTTTTTGTGACATGTTTATTCAGCTGAATTTTAGGGCCTATGTACACTGGACTCCTGTAAAACTGTGTTTTTGGATCTTCTGAGTGGTGAAATATGTTTATTTCAAGGTCCTTTTATGACTGATTTCATGTGAATAAGTGGGTTTAACCTTCCAGTAGGGCCGGGCGATAAACCGAAAATTAACCGATTCCAAAATTTACGACAATAACCGATGTCATTTTGCCCGTATCGGTATATTTGGTGTCAAAAAATATATAAATCAAAGTTGTTTTTGGATGTGTGTAGGTAGGCTATGGTCTCATGTCCTTTTAAGACGCTGTCCTACGTCAGAGACGTGACTCCACCCCATCCAGTCCATAACAAAGAGGGAAAGACAGGTGAGGAGATGGCGGACGGTTCAAAAGTTGTAGCGGCTGAAGTAGATGAAGTTAATGTGGGAGGGGGTGAGCAGCTGGTGGAGCAGTTATCGAACTGATCAATATATCGTGATATTGCTTTGACACTGTATCGCCCAGCCCTAGCTTCCATGATGCCTTTCTAGAGTAAAAAACAAAACAAGAAGAAGTGGTCCAGGATGACCTCCGAGTACAGATAATATCAGACAGTTTCAGAGGAGAGAAAAAAAGTTCTCCTCTGATGTCCTTTCAGTGGGAGAAACTGCAGGTTGTACAGCCCATTTTAGGGTGTCCTTCCACCACTGTGGGTCCACCTCCAGTGGAAAATCGATTGCCCTGTGGGTGCCCAGCCACTGGAGAAAGAATAATACAGCGCCCTTCAGGGTGCCTCTAAAGTTAAAAATCGTTATAGAGTTCCCACCGGGGTTCCCCCTCTGCGGTCAAAATATGACAGCGTCCTGAAGTGTGTGCTCCAAGAAGAAAATGGAAAAGGCTTCTGCAGTCAAGAAAATGTGTAATGTGCACTCCTTCATCTGGGGAGCGTAAAAGGCTGTTCAGAGACATAAAAGGTTCTGCCACGATGTACGAAACAATTTGACCTTTTTTCCTCTGTCCCTCCAACTCTGCAAACTCAAAGTTAGGAAATGAGAGATTTTAGTCCTGGTCATATTGTCATAGTCCTCATCCTGGATGTGGATTTTAGCTTCTCTCACTCTGAAGTCTGATTTAGGAGACGGCGTTTCCTTTTGGCTGAAATGAAAACATTAACCTTCCTCCTCTGTTAGCTTTTACCCACAATGTTAAGGGTTGGTTTTGACCTGTGTCTTAAATCAGCTGTAAATTACACTAAAAACAATTCTCTATCATCCAGTTTGGTTCTCATCTCTAGGTTAACTTGTTGGGCGTCATTATCCATGAAAATATTGATTATAATATGTCGGTTGTGGTCCTCTGGGCCTTTCTTTGTCAGTATACCCCTCACACAGTCATCTATACTGAATTGATCTCACATGTCTGAACATGCCTGATGTTGTTTTTAGTGCAGGTAAAAACAGGAAAAATGAGAATTTACTAAATCTGATATGATTGGAAGAGGATCTGACTCTCAGTGTGGTGCCTGTCAGTGCACTTATGATTTCAGTTTTATTAATTGATCTAACCCTGTCGACAGTGACCCTAAAGTGGGGTACACACATAAAGATAATCAGGCTGTTTTTGTCCTGATTTTCCCTCTCCTGACCAAGGACGACAATCTGAAGATCATTTTATGTCTTCTAAGATTATCCTATCAGATTATCTTGTGGTCTGAGGTGTATTAAGAGTGAATTTGTCCCGATAATTGGGTCCGAAACGGGTCAGGGCAGACAATCGTAAATATTACACTTCAATATTTACAACTAAAAATCTTTACGTGTGGGGAAAGCCGACTTTTTGTCACGTGAAACAGAATGTAGCCAATCAAGCAGCAAGCTGACTGAAGAACAAGGAACCAACTAAAGCGAATAAAAGTAAAGCATGACCTACAGGAGTACGGGATTTAGTACGGGATTTTTCTGTCAACTATACTCCCAAAACCACCTTCTTTCCCTCCTCTTGTGTGTCCTCTTCCATGTTGTGTCTTGTGTTTCCCTGTTGTTGCTTAGTTTCTTCTCCTTCGTTTTTGTTTGATCAAATTTTATCACGCGAGATTCCTGTCTTGGAGGACTAGATTCTGGATCGCCGGTGGAACAGAACCGTTTTGTGTGTGCTGTGTTAAGATTATCGGAGTGCAACACACAGAGTAATATCAAATTTAAGAAGATCATTTTAATAAGAGCGTTTTATAATTTAGTCTTTTTTTTTTTGTTGTTGAAATTGAGGTTCCTGATAAAGTCAAAAAGTCTTGATGCATAGAAGCTAATTTAAGAGGTTCTTTTAAGTATTTAAAATCAGAAACGGTTTGGTGCAGACCCTAACACAGAGGAGGGTTACACTCAAAGAAAAAGTTATTATAGTGACATTAGAGCAACATCATTTTAATGCTGCATTCAGAGAGTAACCTCAATATCTGCTCAGGGATCATGATGTGAGATTATTGGTTCTCTGGTGCTTTTGGGTCAGAGGAGAGTTTACAGTTTTTAAGAGGCTGCCAGGATCTAAAAACAGGCAAGAGTAAAAAGGCTTTAAGAGTTCAGGCTCTGCGTTATTGTTTGGCATCTTTAAGCTCTGAGTGGGTCAAAAACAGTCCATGAAACATACATTTTCTGACTCGGGTCCGCGGGGAGTCGGCGATGACGTGGGCTGGAGCTGAATAACCGGAGCGCACAGATGATGAGCGGAAGCGCCAGTGCGCAACTCCCCATCATAATCTGGCGGAGCAGCGTCGCTGTCTTTCCAGCTCCACTCACTGACAGTCCAACCTGCAGAGAGACAGGACGAGCAGGAGAGCTGACTCCTCTGCGACCTTCTGTGGATTTTTCACACATTTCGAAGATGAAAACTTTTTCTCTTCTCACTGAAGGAGTTATGAAATTTTGATTTGTACAGAGTTTTCAGCTGCTGAAATTCAGAATCTAAGGGTTGATTTCTTCACTAAAGGAGCGACCATGTGGTTGATGGATGTATGATTTGCAGATATTTCTTCCCTGGTTATTCGGTTTTTACGCACTGTTGCTCTCCAAACTCACTTTTGCGAGTCTTTTCAAACACTCTGGATGTCCGTTTCCTCCTGGAGAATTGAGTTGTTAGTTGATCTGATTATTTGACGGGAGAGTTTGAATCCTAGTTTCTAGTTTTGAAGGTTTTTTTCCCTCCTTTCATACGTGGATTATTTGTACCCGGTCGGAATGCTGACTCTACTCGTCGGACTTTTGTACCTGGTCAGTGGACGCACGGTGCGGAGCCAGGATGCCACAGGTAGCCGTTTCGTTTGTAACGCCATCCCCCCGGGCGCAGAGCCGGGCTGCGGGTACGGTCCATCGGGGAACCGTGTCCAGAGCAGCACCCCCGTGGAGGACGAGCTCCGGAATACGATCATCCAGCTCCGGGAAACCATCCTACAGCAGAAGGAGACCATCGTGAGCCAGCAGGGGACCATCAAAGAGCTCAACTCCAAGCTGGCGCGCTGCGAGGCGGCAGCAGACGAGTCCACGCAGGGAAAGTCCCGGGGTCAGGGCTCCAGACGGAAGGAGTTTGGCAAGAACACGATGGGAGACCTGCCCCGGGACCCCGGCGAGACCATAGACCAGCTGGGCAAGACCATGCAGAGTCTGAAGGGTCGGCTGGAGAACTTGGAGGTAAGATGACACAGATACGCTGCTCGTGCGTAAAAGCAGCAGATGTATTTCCCTTGAACATTTTTAATCACCGACCACTAAGACACGCTGCTGCAGCATATCTGCAACACCAAAAACACGCCTGGTGATAGAGAGGCTCTGCAGGAGACCTGTCAGAGGAGAGCGAGATCAAAGGGTCAGCGGACATGTCTGATAAACAGGTTTGAGACTGAAAAACATCCTTCAGGAAAAGAAAAACACCGAGAAATAACACGTCCAAAAGTGTTTCCACGCTCGTGTTGTAAGGTTTTCGAAATGTAACCTTGAATAATTGATGAGTACTCTCTGTGTACCACATCATGTTTTATTTGCAGTCACGTGACTCATTATCCACAGCAGTTGATGGCGTTAATTTCTGCACATTTCACCTTCATTAGAGCGCAGAAACTGGAACATGGGATCGAATCCCTCGTGGTGAAGTAGTCACTTAATTTCCTCTTGACCTCACATCCTTTGCATCTCACACCAGAGCTCTTGGCTCCCACCCCGGGGACCTCACTACTTCTTCTTCATCTTCTTCATCTTCTCCTTTTTTTCCAGTGTGCATTAATAAAAGCAGACTCAGAGATCACAGCAGATATTGAGGTCACCTATAATGAAGTGCTTTACAAACACTAAAAGGTGGAGTTCAGTCATGGCTTCATCTCTTACGCCATTAAATCAACCCTCCTGACGGCCGTCCTGATGCCATCTTAGCTTAGCACAACAGTCCATATTTAAATTCAAGGTTATTTCGATACACACTCGATGCTGCATTGCTGATACATCCATCTCTACCTCCCCTCCTCCCTCTCTCCTTGATTGGAGGCTTTAATACCCTGATCAAATCAGGATACACTGCAGCTGTGAGCATACATATTATATTGAATTTTAATCTATTGATCTGCATCTACTTACCATAGTGATTATTTATAAAGTGGTGTAGCATGTAGCGTCTAGCTGCCCAGATCAGGACCTCTCTCGCTAATCAAAGCCATCTGTACGACCCAACAATTACATCCAGGACCTTGCAGAAGCTTTCAAAGTGGCCTTCAGCACCATGACTACAAGAGATTCTCTTCAGATGAGCTTTTCAGTCGGCTCTGTGCTGCAAGAAAATATGAATTAAACTCTGTGAAAGTGTCACAAAGGGTCTGAAATCTGAAGTGGAGCAGGAGATGTAGGTAATGGAAATGGAAATGCAGGTTTTGCTCAGTAAAGCATCAGCTGTTTTTGGATCAAAGTTCTGCAGGATCTGAGGGTCTCTCTAATTAGTGCAAAGACAACAAATGCAAGACTAAACAGGAACAAATGTGAACGTTTGGAAACTAAGGGGACCAGGTCCTTGAGCTGCTCTGAAACCTGCATATCATTCAGCTCTGATGCTGCCTAAATCTGCCCATGCAGGCCCAGACCATTAGGGATGCTGACTTTTGAAGTGTGCAGGCCGGGTGGTCTCCTTTTAAGAGCAGAAGATGCATCGTCCACGATTTCCAAAATGTGAATTTTTGATTTTTAGACCACAGGGAAATTTCCGTCTCCCCCTCAGATGATCTTGACTGACCCTGGAGAAATTTCTGGATCAAGTTTATATGTAGTTTCAGTTTGAAGAGACAGTTTAACTGGATGACTGACCTTGTCTCAGTCTGTATGGTCCAGGTGGACATCAATTCATTTACAGGAGTATGTCCGCCTTGTTGACCTGTTTCATCACCAAAACAATCAACAAACACAGTAGCAGGAGGCGTATGTTAGGGTGACCATACGTCCTCTTTTTTAAGGGCTGTCCGGCTTTGTTCGAGGAAGTTTATTAAGTCCTTCAAATGTCTGTGGGTTTTGTACACAAGTTTCAAGTTTGTGACACACGGACTTACTGAGTTAGAAGCGCGTAAAAGACACTCAATACGACCCGAAAAACTCTCAAAATTAACTACATGCGACTCCATGACTCCGCCCCCGTGTAGTCGTGTCCTCTTTTGGAGAAGTCAGGTCTGGAGAAACTGATCCCGCCCACATTATCTTTGTTTGTTAATCTGACTACGAGAAATTTAATTTACTGCGATATTAGTCAGACTGATGGTAAACATAATTTAAACTTACTTTGTTCACAGACTGTGATTTCTTTAAGCCGATGCGTTAACTTCCACTCCAGAGTCTGGCCTGGTTAGGGTCCAGTTGTTGAGCTTTTTCCAAACTAAACTGGTGTTGTCGTAACTCTCTTAAAACATGTCGTTGGTATCATTATTAAATAAACGATGAATTTTTCTCACGATTTGTCACCGAGTATGCCTTTAAATCATTTGCAAACTTTCCGCCAAAGTTTTAGTTCTATCCTCAAACTACCTTAAACGCCCCGCCCAGTCATGGCGGTTTGGCGGGTCACCAGTTCAGAATAGACGGCGAGGACGCTGACTTCATTTTGATATTGCTGGATCAAAAACAATGGTGCTAAAAGGATCAGGCCCAGAATGAAGACTCGATCAGTCATCTAGTGCAAATCTGGGTCTTTACGGAGATTAACTGGATTAAATGTCTGTCTATCTATCTATCTATCTATCTATCTATCTATCTATCTATCTATCTGTGTTCTATTTTTTGCTCTACCTTGCATTTCTTCCCTTTTCTCTCCTCTCAGCAGCAGAATTTGCGTCTCCCCACCACGAATGTATCAGCCGGCGGTGTCTCGGCCCTGGCCCCCCTGCCACCGGAGCTGAGGGAGCTGCTGCGGCAGCGTCTGGGGGCGCTGGAGACGCAGCTCCTCCGGAAGGTGGCTGAGCTGGAGGAGGAGAAAAGCCAGCTCTACAACGAAACAGCGGCCCACCGCCAACGCACAGAGAGCACACTCAATTCCCTCTTGGAGAGGATCACCGAGCTGGAGAAAAGTAAGTGAGACAATGGGTGCTGGGAGATACTGGCCGGAAATAATCCCCCTTTTCTTCTGTTTTATTCCTCCAGATTTAACTCTAATTAGTCAATCCTTGTGCAATTTCTGATGATGCAAGTAGAAACCTCACAGCACAGCTTCTTCTCAGAGCCAGAGCGGCTCCTGATTCTGGAAAAAAAAAAGGCTTGGAAAGCAACACTGAATGCTTAATTAGTTTAATAAATATTAGAGGGATGTCCTCACTCCAGGGTATCACTTTGAAGATGGATGTCAAAATATCTCCGCCTTGAGGAAAATAAGATAATCTCAACACTCACCGGACATTTCCTGTAGACTGTCCCCTGAGGCTCCGGCGGCTGAGTCTGCGTCTGCTGGATGATAGCAGGTATAACCAAAGCTAATTGCTTGGAATTAAAGAAAGGTCAGCCAAACAGAACCCACATCCATAATATAATGAGTCGATGCTGGTCTGACAGTAAACACCACCTTTTTTCAGCTTTTTAAATTCAATTCACGGAAACCTCCCCGGCAGAAATGTCACAATTTCAGAGACGGTTTTTCCACCAATCGGAGCCCTGCGCTGGCTTTGTAGCGTGTTTTGGTTGTCTTCATGCTCTGGGCTTTCAACAAAAGGATTCTGGGATTGAGTCCAGCACCCCCACGATCCTCAGAGGTTAGAAATTAATCTTGTAGAGGAACAGAATAAATGAGAACCTCGGAGGGAGTTGCTGGAGATTCATAATGAATCACATGCATGTTTACATGACATTCATCCTGCGTCTTCTCCCTCCAGGTGTAGTTAAAAATGGGAAAGAAACTACTTCGTACCTGAGTTTATATCATAAACTTCACATTTAGTGCACAGTCCGCTTTAAAGCTGCTAAAGCTTGGAATACTCCACCAAACAGAAATAAAACTCTGGTTCAATCCCATTAAAAAATGCAACATGTTTTCACTGAGCTCAGATCTGTGTGTGTGAGCATGTGTGTGTGTCCTCTCTCCTGCTTTATGTTGAGTGAGTTTCTATCCCTCTCTCTCTCTGTCCGTCTGTCTTTTTAGATCATACTTAATTTAGCATCTGTGTTTACTCTGTTTCTGTTTTCGGTCTTTATGAATTTTTAAAACTCTTCTTTAACAGACACACCACCACGACGAGGATGTGTTTAGTCACAACTGACTTGGTATAAAACTTTATGACATAAAGCCTTTAAATAATAATTAAGCAAAAGGAACTGCAGTGTCACTTTAAAGGTGCAGTATGTGATGTTAGGTGACACTTATTGGAACAGACTGGGCAGAAATTAAATTTTAATATTCATGAGTGTGTTTAAAGTTTTATAAAACCATCTAGATATATAAATAAAATGAGTTTTTGTTAACTTATAATAAGGTCGACTTTCACGGGGGAGGCCATTTCTATGGTAGCACAGAATGGACAAACTAGAAACTGAAGACAAAGAAGACAAGACTAGCTTATTGTCCTAAAGGAATATTCAAGCGTAAAATTAAGTTAAGGTCAAACACACCGCAACACCGAGTTAGACACCCCATCAAGGGATGAATGTTGCCGAACGGCTTGCTTCTCTAGTTATACCAACTTTAGTAACAACCGCACAATAGCAATACACGGAGCGACGCGCTCATCCAAAACGCCACCCTATAGCCACAAATAATGCTCAGAACAGCACCTAACTTCATCAAAAGGACATATAGGGTCCAAGCCATAGTACTAGACACCAAACATCTTTTTAACTTTGCCTAATTTGTTTCGCAAAGAGACTAAACACAACTCACCTACTCTCTTCCAGCAGCCGCCTGTTTGTACAGAGACCTTGGGCGAGGATTTACGGAATATCCCTTTAAAGGCCGTCATAGTTTCACAGAGTGGAGGAGTGAGCAAAGGAGTGTTTCAGTGGGTGTATCATAACTCATGTCGTTATTATTCATCGCCAGGTAACAGTGCCTTCAAGTCACCCGAGGACTTCAAGGTGTCCCTGCCTCTTCGTACGAACTACCTGTACGGACGTATCAAGAAGAGCCTCCCAGAAATGTACGCCTTCACCGTGTGCATGTGGCTCAAATCCAGCGCCAGTCCTGGCATAGGAACCCCGTTTTCTTACGGCGTGCCGGGCCAGGCCAACGAGATAGTCCTCATCGAATGGGGGAACAACCCCATCGAGCTTCTAGTTAACGACAAGGTAGGTTCTTTTTCTCGTTATCACGGTAATTTGCATTTCTTAGAGGCGAAACAAGCTTCAACCCTCATTCATGTTGCGTTTGTATCAGAGGTGGTTAAAATTTACATATGGCATGGGTTTTTGGAGAAGGATGTGGGTGACTGTTGCCCCCAGGAGACGATAAACACATTTCATAGATGTTTAAAATTCAAAAGGCACATGTACCTCGCCAAGACAGACAAAAAGCTGCTTTGAAAGGATTTACGTTTTATTGTGTTATGTTTGATCACTAATTTTCTAGATCAGAATACGGCTAAACCACGCCACGCTACCCTATGCTTGTTTGCATACTGGTAGTAGATCATCATGGAAAATGCCATAAGCTGGAGTTATAGCACCAGCCAGTGGTTGGTGGAAGTGCTACAGCTCAGATACAACATATGACTGGAAAACTGGGTCTACAGTAATATTTATAACTTGTTCAACAGACTTGTTATTTTGGCGCCAACTAGCGAAGATGATATGTTTGATTGTACGCTAGTACAAATTTTTCAATTACCGTATTTTTCGGACTATAAGGGGCACTTAAAATCCTTAGATTTTCTCAAAATTTGGCAGTGCGCCTTATAATCCAGTGCACCTTATGTATGATTACTTGTTGTGCTTACAGACCAATTACTGACCGCTAAAAAATCTGTCAACTAGGTACAACTTTAGTAAGCAATGAAGCCACTCCCCTCAATGGATATTCAGAGCATTACGGTACACTGTGTCACTATCTGATCGGCCCCGTAACAGGACCCCTGAGCAGTCAACAACACTGCCTGACTGTATTTTCTAGACGAGGAGTGCATCCATGTAAGGCAGCCCCGGCCCGGAGTACACGCTAGCAGCAATCAACCAATCAATGCCTAATGCGCCTTATGTGTAAACATAGACATGTTAATTCATAGTGCGCCATATAATCCGGTTAACCTTATCGCCCGAAAAATATGGTAATTCCACTTACTTACTTCTCTTACCAACTCCTCAACTTACATTTTTGTTGATATTTAACCGTCTGCCTGCATTCAGCTAAATCCGCAATGTCAGTTTGTATGTAACTGTGTAGCTCCTTAGCTACAAATAAGAAAGTCCAGGGCTATAATGATAGCAGTGTGGGGATTAGACAGCACTAACGATGTAACGCTAATGAACTTCTTTACTCGGTGTATAAAATACAAGATGATTCAGATCTCAGCCCACCCCTCGGTACCAGAAGCAGACGTGTAGATATAGGCAGATAAAGTTTTGCAAAGGGTGTTCGACACAGGATGCATCTTGATTAATTTTGTTATTTTGCACGGTGATCTCTGCCCTGATGTTTTCGAAAAGAGGGATGCATTTAAATCAGTCGCTCTCATTTGGCTGCCGGCTCTGCTGGCTGTAACGTTGTGTAGATCAGCTCATTAAATGCAAAGAAGGCATTAATGTGTTGCTAATATTTCCTCTTTCTCTGCCTCGGCGCTGCGAAATACTTTCACTTCTAAGCACAATAATGATAAAGCTGAGAGCCGAATCACTGACCATCAGCTCTGAATTTTTAATTTTGCTCCTTATAAACTTTTAATATCATTGACCCACATTCCTCACACACCCAAGAATAACAGTAATTCATTAGAGAACTCGTGCCGCTCGTTTGCTTTCTCCATAAATCATTGCGAGATCTCAGTCAGCCGTCGAAATTTCAATTAACATGACAGAAGACAAAGTGGTAGAAATAAACATCAATATTTTATAACGTGTATACTTAAAAGGAAGGGAGTCGGTGTAATTGTTATGCTGATTTGAGCTGTAATACTAGATTTTCTTGTTTTCCCCAACGGCGCAGATGCGTCTGCAGCGCTGTAATATTGGATTTGGGTGAATTTTTTCATAAAAATGTTGCTGCACTGGAGAGGATTCTTCTCCCCTCACTGTCTTGTTTACACTGGCTGTTATTGGCACAGGCAGGTCTCCTCACAGCTTTCCCTTCACCATGCATTATACATGTGTTCAACTCAGACAGATGAGAGAGACACGGGGGGAGAAAGGGATGAGAGAAGAGAGAGGGGAAAAAAGAGAGGAAGGGGGTTGGAAATAGAAAATCTGCAGAGCTTTGGAGGTGATGGAGTGCTGCGGAGAGAGATGAGGAAGAGCAAAGATCACAATAAACCAGGGAAAAGAAAGTTGAATGTACTGGAAGAGGAGGAATACAGCAGAGCACACAACGAGACGAGACTTGTTATGATTTCTGCATGTGCAGCAGCACATCCATGTGCCCAACTTGCTCACCGTGATAACAGGGTCCGCTGGGGCACATTGTTTATGCTGTTGATTAAAGCGGAGGGAGGAAGAAAAGCTCTTTCAACAGTAAAAAAAAGTGCACCGTTATCTGTATTTCAGATGTGTGGCTGGATCTGCACAGTGAATTTCCTTCAGCCTCATAAGGAAAAACCTCCTGAACAGCCGATCTCTTTGTACCAGAAAATTGTAGATATGTTGTTTTTAGCCCAATCAAGAAAAACCTGTTTACCACGTCTGCATTTTTCACTCAAATGAGGCCGCCAGGAGTTTAATCTGAAATGGATTCAGACGTTCTTGTACGACATTAAAAACGAATTCTCTTGGCAAGCGTGCTTATGAAGTCTGCTGCTCACAAACAAGAGTAATCTGGAGGACCATTCTCCGACGGCGAGCATTTCTTTGTAGATTAATCTCAGTAATTCCAGATTTTTTCATCTGGTTGATGTGTTTTTTTTAGCACACATTGTTGGAAGCAGACAGTTCACAGGCTTAACCCCTTTTTCATGACCCCCTGAAACATTTCAATCAGGGGAGATGAGTTAATGAATTAAAGGGGAATGTTTATTTACAGAAATGTGATGATATTGAATTTATGGTCAGAGTCTCTTTGGTGCTCTGAGTTCACAGTTTGATCTGGGGGTGTCTGTCCTGAGCTGCAGTAATGTCCCCGTAGAGTCCAGACACTGCTGGTGGAGGTTTGAGCTGATAATGCCATCTGAGGCTGATGTGTTGATGAAGATGATGACTCTGCAGAGATGAGGCGGTGATGGGGAGGTGGATGGAGTCATGCAACAATAGAGTGAATGAGCTGAAGAGGGAGAAAGTTATATAAGACGGCACTAATGTGAAAGGCTAACAATGAGGGTGAGCTGGAGGCCTTTCGGAGAGATACTTGACTCATATCTGACATGATCTAACACAGATACAATACAATATGATGATATAAGATAATGTGATATGATATGATAGAAGATGAAAAGATATGATAAAATATGATAGAGGATGATATGATATGATATGGTATAGTACAAGATGATAAGATATGATACGTTTTGATATGATATGATATGATAAGATACAAGATGATAAACTATAACATGATATGATATATGATAGAAGTTGAAAAGATATGATACGATATGATAGAAGATGATAAGATATGATATAATATGATATGATATGATACAAGATGATAAGATATGATGTGATGTGATATATGATATAATATGATAGAGGATGATATGATATGATATAGTACAAGATGATAAGATACAATACGTGATGATATGATATGATATTATAAGATACAAGATGATAAAATACGATATGATGTGATATGATATGATAGATGATAAGATATGATATGATATGATACAAGATAAGATACAAGATGATAAAATATGATGTGATTTGATACGATTGAAGATGATAAGATATATGATACAAGATGATGTGCTATGCTATGATAAGATACAAGATGATACAATGTGATATAATATGATACGATGTGATAGAAGATGATAAGATATGATATAATATGATATGATATAATATAGTACGAGATGATAAGATACGATACGTTTTGATATGTTATGATATGATAAGATACAAGATGATAAAATACGATATGGTAGAAGATGATAAGATATGATATGAAATGATACAATATAATAGGAAACAATAGGATATGATGTGATACGACACAACACAATCCAATACACTATGATACGATCCAAATGATACATTATAATATGATACGATATAATATCAACAATATGATACAATGTGATTTGGTTCAGTACATGATATGATACAACACAAGCAATTGTCATGCAGTGCAGGACTGCAGTGATTTCAGAGACAGATTGTGTCTTAGCCCTGAAGTTTGGCTGTTTTCACAGAGACCAGGATTTTCAGCTGCACTGTAATCCCGTATAGTCTCATATCTTTACAGAATAATCTAGAAGTGGATACTGTGTTTGCATCAGCCCTTGGTGGGTCAGAGTAGAGATATTGGTGATGCCATAGATGTTTTTTTGTGGGGGCTGCTGGTTCAGGTGTCGCAGAGAGATTGGTTGTATTCAACTTCACCCCTGCACACTCTGCAAAAACCTGCAGATTTATTAAAGACGCCTGAAGTTTCCCAAAAACCAAACTGTGTCCAATAATCTCACAGTGGTCTTTCCCCTCTCTGCTGTCAGCCATCATGGCTCATGCTCAGCAGATTTGAGATTAACCAGGTACACAGTCTGCTTTTTCATTTACGAGCTGCAACTTTGGTCGTGCTAAATATTGATGCAACGGATGATTTGCTTTAAAAGACCGTCATGAATCTATCTTCATCATATGGGAGTGTCATGTGACAGTTTACAGCCTGACTCAGGTGGATTGTGGGTATTGAAATACGATGAATGAATCTACACACCCCCAGTTTTGACAAGGAAAGCTTTGGTAGCTCTCTTCTGTTACAACTCCCGGGGTGCTGGAGTGGCACACGCTGGCTGAGTCAGACACAAAAATAATGTAACACCTGTGCGAAAATAATTTCTGCTGTGTTAAAAAAAACTCTCACATTGAACTTCTCACGCTGTGAAAATGAGCTCGTTCGCAGCCATTTGAAGAAAGATGAGTCGCCTGCTTTGTCCTCAAAACCTCAGCACTGTCACAGATATTCAACAGCGCCGAAAATCTGACAAGGTTTGTTTCGTTTTAGGATCTTGAGATTTGCAATCACAGTGCTGCTAGTTTGGATTAACTCTCATTTCCTAGTATGTCATTTGCTATTTTTTCATCTTTATTTTGAGTTTACAGTCACATTTTTAAAGACTGGGGCATCAAATTTGGTGAGAGTTCTTATTTTTCGTCATATTAAAAAATATAAAAACTCGGTGTCACCTGTCGTTCTCCGTCTCCACATTTTAGCTCCATCCACCCTACTTTGTCCGCAAATCGGACAATGGACTTCCATTAAAAACAGGTTTTTTGACCGTGTGTTTAGGGCACCAGAGCAACATATTACAAACTTCTTTTTGCAGTCACTCCATCACCAGGGCTTTAAATTTCGGTGCCACACATGCAAGTCTTCAATCATGGACTGAGAGTGTTTGAAGCACTGATTCGTGAAACTTTACATGTCACTACATATGGATGTCTAAGAGTGGAGTATGTGTGTAAGGAAAAGTTTGTGTGCTCCTGCACACAGAGATTTGAGTCAGAAAAATGAAGAAAAAAAATGTTAAAAAATGATTATTTCACGAGTACTTTTCTGCATGTCTGTTTCGGGGACAAAGTCAGCTGGATGGAGCTTCAAATGCGAAAAATTGGCACAACAAAAAGGATTTAAATGCACCAAAATCAGTTTTATTTCTCATTATTGACATGGCCCAGACTCTTTTTATGAAAAAAAAAAAAAAAAAAAAATATATATATATATATATATATATATATATATATACATAATTTTATATGGGAAATATGGCGATTTTGCATTTTTTACCATAAATAATAGCAGTGACATGGTGCACAAAAACTGGCATAAAAAGGGTGTAACATCGAATTTTGTATTTATTATTTTTCTAATGGTCAGGGCTGAAGTTGTTCAAGAGATTTGAGTCGAAAAAAGTTTTTAAAACATGTTAGAAAAATGATTATGTTGTGAAGACTTATCTGCATGTCCACTTTGGGGACTAAGTAGGCTGGATGGAGCTCAAAAATGAAAGGAACCGAGGGTTAAGACACCACCTGGATTTCTTCACCAGGTCTGAAATCAAAAGCAAAAGAAATTTTATCTTTTAGAGATATCTGTCTGTGGAGCTGCACTGAGACATGAGTACAGTCTGAACCTGTGGGCTCATATGAAAAAGAGGGCTAATGAGTTACTCTCTGTGTAATCTCATGTGTTGCTGTGTATCCTCTGAGGACTCTGATGTCACTGGTTGGTAAAATAACCTGTTGTTTTTCTTTGATCCGCGAACAAAGCAGGAAAGCATAGCAGGACGCTGTTTTTGCTGTTAGCTACCCGCGCGCTTTGAAGGACGTCCTCCCCCTTGATGTCACCTGGGAAATCTAAATTTCATATGTCGTATCCGGAGACTCTTCTTTGAAGCCCTAACCCGTCTAATTGTGGTCCTTGTTTTTAACATGTTGCAATTATTCTCAAACCTCTCTTTTCTCCTCTTAACCTCGTCCTAACTTCTCCTCAGGTGGCCCAGCTCCCTCTCTCAGTGAGCGACGGACGCTGGCATCACATCTGCATCACCTGGACGACCAGAGACGGCTTCTGGGAGGCGTACCAGGATGGAGAGCGTCTGGGCACCGGGGACAACTTGGCCCCCTGGCACCCAATTAAACCTGGAGGGGTGATCATCCTGGGCCAGGAGCAGGTGAGAGCACGAGTGTGTGTTTAAGAGCCAGAGGCGCAGAGCAGGGATCAGGGGAGAGGATGAAGGGAGGCTGCTCTCACGCTATCTCGTCCCTTCCAATATTACCTCATTCATCTACCTCTTAACTGCACCTCTGAGCCTCTGGGAGCCGCGTTAGCGGGTTAGCTCCATGACAGCACCTTGCATATACTTAAGAAATGTACGGTGACATATGATTAATTTCCGCTGAGGGCCATTAAGTCATATTGCAATAGATTAGAGCCAAAGGAGGCCGGTGTTGGGGAGATTGCATCATGTTGCACAATATTACCGTTTGCACATCAGTGAGATGTCTTAAAGGGGCAGTGCGCTCAGAGCCGTTAAGTTTAAATCAAACATTTACATTTCTGCTGCAGGTTACAGCGACTGTAAAAGGCGGGGCTTAGTCTTGGGGGAAAATTAGCGCCCCCTGTGGACAATACTGTTCCAATTTTTCTTGTAAACGCATTATCAGTTTAATGAAACGTCTCATTCTGTCTTCTACCAATCAAATACACCAGTCTTTAGGGCGCAAGGCTCAAGAGGGGTCTAGTTGCAGACCGGAAGTTGTTTGAAGCCTTTCAAAATAAGAGCAAATATACCAGAAGTATGTTTCTTTTTTTATGTCCAAAGTTGATTTGAAGCCTTTCAAATGTTTATGGTCTGACTCTTACGAGCAACTTGCAAAACACTAGTCCTGACAGCAGGGATAGCCTATCACACGCAAAAAGCAGCCCTGCGGCAGAGCCAATCAAGGACCTTGTGGACGGTCCAAACTGAGGGAAACCAGTTTTCAGCTTGAGCAGCCGTTTGGTCTTAGTGCTTGACCTGTATCGGTTTGCTATAGCGTAAAGTAACATTGATTTTTAGACGGTTAAAACTGCAGGGGACGAAAACAGGCTTTTGAAAAATTACATCCATGGGGATGACCACTTCAAACAAACTGGAGCACGTGAAAATAAAGGTCACCTCCTGTCCTCTCGGCAGCTAGACTGTCTTGCAAGGTTCAGCTAGTACGACAACAGTCCTAAGATGGAGCAACTCAGCATTGACAGAGGTGAGATAGATGCAGGAGCAAAACTTCTGCAGCAGTGATCCAGGAGAACCTACGGCATGATGGAGCACGATGTTGCTCTCTTCTCCTGTAGCTTAAAATGCTGTGTTTGTTTTGACGGCGCACACATAAGATGCACCACGAGGATAAGGCTCAAGAACAGGATACTCATTTTCAGGTCTGTTTTCCCCTTTAAAACAGACCAGACTCAATCATAACTGTTACCACATTAGTCCAATTATCATCACAAAATAAAGTACAGAAAAATACTTTTAGTGGAGAAACAAATAAAAGAGACAAAGCCGAGGAGGAGTGCAGGCTGCTACAGAGAGATCCACAAAAAAGCGAAGATGACACATTTAGTAAGCAGCACACCGCACACAGACCGGGCTGCACAGATGTGTAAAGAGGCTGAATGGAACAGAAATGTCAACGGACTCTGACAATGATGAAGCAGGAAAAAACTCATCCAGGTGCGGCGCTGAATCATGCGGTCCCCTGCTCTCGCTGTGGACTAGTTTCTTTGTAGGTCATGAGGAGGCATCAGTATTAATACCAGTCTGTTTAATATCCAGCCAGCAGCTCTTCACAGGAGCTTTAACCTATAAACTTCTCTCTGCTCTGTCTCCATTTAGGACATTGTTGGAGGCCGCTTCGACGCCACCCAGGCCTTCGTGGGCGAGCTGAGCCAGTTCAACATGTGGGACCGAGTGCTGCGGCCTGTGGACATCGTGGGTCTGGCCAACTGCTCCGCTTACATGCCGGGAAACGTTGTTCCTTGGATCGACGCTAACGTCGAAGTGTTTGGCGGCGCTAGCAAAGCCGCGCTGGAGATCTGCGAGGACCGTGCGTTTGATTCCTAAAGGATCTGATCATAGGGAATCTAGGATCGAGCAGCTGTGTACCCTGACTTGGTTGCTGCAGTGAGACCCCCAAAGGGACGAGGGAAGAGTATGGGTGCGACATTTTCACATATTTATGTTCTGACTGCGTAGATTCGGAAGACTCCGTGTTTATCGGACTCACATGTTGACGCGTCCGATCAATTTTGGACCCGGAGGACGCCGCAGGAGACTTCAAATTAGTCCGCTCATCTGAAGAAGAAGCTCTGCCGTTGCATCAGTCTGCTGTGATGATACGACCTCACGTCATTCTGTGTTATCTCTTCAGTAGATCCGCTCTCATTTGACACCTCTTTGAAAAAAAAAAAACAGCTCTTTTTTTCGGTTGCGTTCCTTCGTCTGACAATGCTGCACTGTATCTGTAGTGAATGTGAGCTGCAGCAGGCTTTGATGTGCTGAGGAACAGTAGAGTACTACACGCTGTGAGCTCCCTGATGTTTAAAGAGCAACGAGGCACCGGTGAAATGAGGTGGATGCTGGAGAGTTCAAAGTGGAGGATGGATGATTATTTTCAGACGTCCCAGCGCGTCCGAAACGTCTAAAAGTGATGCATGAGCCCGGACGGTGACTGAGAGTGACGGTGCATGCTTTCTGTCACTACACAGGGTGCATGTGGAGCATCAAAACAAGCCAATGCAGCACTCTGACATTATGTAAGAGTGTGTGTACGTGTGTGTGTGTGTGTGTGTGTTGCGTGTAAAAGATCAGAGATTATGAGCCAGAGAGGACATTTTCATTCTTGTCAATCTATGCTTAATACCTCTCTGCCCCTTGAGCAGCTGCCATGTCCCGAACAGCTTTACGGACGGGCTGGCTCTGCTCAGGTTAATAGCGATGTCGGACAGATGCCCAGGACTGGCGCATCGGCAGAGCCGTGGACCCGAGCCCAGAGCCCAGAGAGGGCAGGGACTGGAGTTAACCTTGAAGGACAATCCTTAAATCCTCATCTGGGTAGTAATTATCTGTGCTCATAAAGGAGGGTAGCAGTTAGCTGCCCGAGCTAACTGTGTCATACTCAATAGATTTGACGGTGCAGGAGGGACGCCAAAATGAGGGTCTGGACTTTAATCTTAATTGCCTCCCAGCGAAGAGAAAGAAAAGTTTCCACCAATCGATGTGTATCTGTTTAAAAAGGGAATAATTGATTTCTTGCCACTGCTTAGCAAATAAAATCGACGCTTGTTTGAAGCTCTAAGTTATGTTGCTTCTTAATATTGTGGCAGACGTTCGTTTGAAAGCTTTTGTTTCTGATAAGCAGTAAAAAAAAAAAAAAAAAAATAGATGCACAGCCTGGTGCTGCGAAGCAAACGTAAGAGTCAACTCCAGAGTTTCTTTTCCTCTGGTTAACAGACTATTTTAAACTCATGATAAAGTCACGATATTAGCTGGAGGCAAAACACAAGAGTAGATGACATAAGAGTGTTAGTCCAGGCAGGCTCATAATACGTCTCATGATCTTAACATCCACACGTCTTTCTCTTGCTCCTCCTTTCAATGCTGTATCTGATTTTAACAGTGTTGTACGTATCGGCACTGATGCTGCTCTGTTCGGTACCCAGGGTGTCTTTGCTGCTGCTCTCCCTGCCCTGGGGTTTTTAATGTGGAGGGGAGGTGTGACAACCCTGCTGCAGGATTTCCCACGTATGCATGTGGAAAAGAACCAATTAGCTTTGTTGAACGTGGCCTCACAGGGATATTCTAGCGTAAAATTAAGTTAGGGTCAGACACACCGTAACACCGAGTTAGACGCCCCCTCTAGAGATGAATGTTGCCGACCGCTTGCTTCTCTAGTTATACCAACTTTAGTAATGACCGCAGGATAGAAATACAGAGAGGTCTGAGGAGCCATAAACAAACCTCAACCAAAACGCCACTCTATAGCCACAAATAATGCTCAGAACAGCACCTAACTTCATCAACAGGACATATAGGGTCCTAGCTACAGTACTAGCCACCAAACATCTTTTTAACTTTACCTGATTTCTTTAGCAAACAGACTAAACACAACTCACCTACTCTCTTCCAGCAGCCGCTTGTTTGTAGCGAGACCTCAGGCCAGTCCATTACGGACTACAGCGGGGTGCCACAGCTCAAGGAAGAACATTTATGATCATTTCTTCATGGAAATTTAATCAGACTGAGACGCTAAGACAGAAGAACTACCGCGTCTGAAAAATGATTAATATGACGATTATTACTTCAAGGAAATGATAAAGTAATGAGTAACTAAATTAATTTTATGCCGGAATATCCCTTTAACTGATGTGAAATGTTACCGGGTAGCTGCTGTTAGCAGTAAACAAAAATGAGGATGACTGGAGTTGAAACGATAAACCAAAAAGAAGTGGATGGAGGCAAACATGAAAGATCCTCAGGCACATATTAACTATTGTGTGGGTTAATTATATAAAATATAATGAGGGTTATTATTGACCTCTTTTTCTATATACGATTGTACGATCGATTGGTAATCATTCACAAATATAAAAACATCCAAAGACGAAAACCCCCCTGTTTTTTGTTTTTTTTAAATTAAAGCTACTATAAGGAGTTTTTGAGTGGTCAGGAAATCAACAACAAATGGCTCTTGATGACAAAAAACAAAACAAAACGCAGCCTTAATCAGCACTTTTTCTCAGAAACATGTTTTGCACAAGCGCAGGACTTTTCCCGTAAAGATGTAAGCGGTCACTCTTGGTCCAAAAGGTGGCGCCAAAACTAACAGAAACCCAAACAGAAGCTAGGCGTCAGAGAACACAACTTCCGAGCTTATGCGTCTGTCAGATTGTTTTGCCTCCTGCTAAGCCCCGCCCACCAGGAACTCTTCGCTAACACTTAAAGCATCTTTAGTAAAAAGTTTGACCCCGTTTTAAACTAGCAGGTAACAGGACAGCGCCGAATGTGTTCAAAGTCAGGGTGCACACTTGTTGGAAATGTCGCTCACATGTCGTGATCGTTCCTCTTTTGAGTGTCTTTGTTGACGATGTTACTCTGTGCAACCAGGAGATGTATTTTTCTGTAGAAAGTGTTTTCTTCTTGCTTTTTCTCTGCTCATGATTTTTGTCCATTAGCAGCGCATAAAGAACACAAAGAAAAGCTTGTAGAAATGCTTTTGTTTCAATGGTGAATGGCCTTCTCGTGAGAACCATGCGTGCTTCTGCCTGTGGACAATGTTTTTTTTTGTCACTTTTTAAAGCACTAGCGGCTCACTCGCAGCATCGACACCGAGGGACGTGAGAGGAAAAAAGACAAATGTGTTCGTTAATCTTTGTTTTTAAAGTCACCTTTCTGCCGTGTGGTTGAATGTCCTTTTGCACCCAATAAAAGAAAAAGTGAACAAGTTGCAGAGGTGTGGCAGTTAAAGCTGAACAGCTGCTCGAGGCGTGTTTCATTAAATATTATCACACTGCATTCATTACGGAGTCAGAGGGGAGCGGAACCCCGCAAAGGTCAGGCTCGGCTCCTCACTCAAGGTTTCCGACAAAGAGGGGACGCGTGAATCTTTCATAGAGATGATAAACAAAGCTTATAAATTGGACGTTCCTCCTCTGGAAGAGTCGCCACGATGCACACGAGGGGATACGTCCTCTCATCTGAGCGGAGAAATCCTCTGGACTGGCAGATGTCCAGGTGGAAATGAAAAAATCTGCCCATGCGGATTATGGATGTAGGACACCGTGAGCCTCCTTCATTCTGCACAATGCTCTCCGTCTGTGTGTCGGTGGTGACGCACCGGGGAGCCTGTTTTGTTAAAGCATAACAATCCCAGCCTTCTGATACACAGCCAACACTGAAACATAAGCTTTACATGATGTTTTTTTAGCATCTTCTCTACTTCTAATGCTCATTTCATTACGAGGGAGGCTTTCATATCCTGCTGCTCTCACATGAAACACACATATTTATTATTAAAGAGTACATATCATCGTGTTTGCATGGAAGATAGATGTATTAGTTTGTGTGCGGAGAGCTGCAGATTCTTCTTAGACGACTGAAGAACAAAAAGACTGCTGTGGATGTGACAGTGGGTGATCCACCGGTGCAGGATTTTTTTTCTTTTTAAACAACCAAACAGAAAGACATTAAAAGACTTTGGTTATGACTGCTGCAGCGAGTGAGGAGAGTCGCAGAAACTTGCAGGATAGAGTCATGCTAATGGTGAGATAGCTGTTTGATTGGGTAACAGTTAACTTTATGCTAAATTAGCAAATTATATGTTATATACATAGACTGTATATACTATGGACAACTTGACTCCGCCTTCTGTCATTATACGACTTTGAAGCAATTTGACTTGTATGCATTTGGCAGGAGAGTTGCTGTGATGACACTCAACAGCGTATCCCCTGGGTGATTTATGTAAACTTCTTACGCCCACAGCTCCATAGGGATTGCTGGAGGAGGCAGGATTTATGACCTAAACTGCAGCCCGTCACCAGAGGGTGCTGTTCTCGTGGTGGTTTTACACAGCGAGGAGGCAGACGCTGTCCATTCTATATACAGTCTATGGTTATATAACACTACAAATATTTGATGAAAACTAACATCTGGTTACTTTAAAGCTGCATTACCCCAAATTTCCATCGCATGCAGAACTGCGGGAAAAAGACCATCAGCACCAATTGCTGCTGATCGTTAATGTGTCAAATTCAACCATCTTTCTTCCGTCCCCCTGCGGTTCAGCAGGCTTCGTAGCCGATCGCCAGGATTAAATTTTTTTTTACGCCGCAGCATGCCGGATAAATTCAGCACAGATTAACCCTTGATGGAAAGGAAGTCGGGCGCAGACACAAAATAAAACATCCGGCTTCTTTTCCAAATAAAACACTACATGTTTCGGTAGATCGTATTTCACACCATGCAAACGCAAAATCATTTGCGTCATTTTGTTTCCACAAAAGTGTCTGACCTACTGGTCTGGACAGTGGATCTCCTCCTCTGGAAGGACACAATCTACTGCTTATATGGTTGTTTGGCTGTCTTTAAACAGACAACTCGTTATCGCGTGATTGCATGAGAATATACAGGTTTCGCCTCAAAAACGTGTTCGGTAGGAATTGGCGGACGGCTAAAATCGCCACCATTTCACAGCGATGGAAATTTGGGGTTAAAGTTTGTGAGGATACCACAAAACTGAATTATGTCACATGATTTAAGGTTTAAAAATATTTTATTTTAACTAAATTTAAGTGTCTGGATAGAGTTGGATCAAAGGGTCGCGGTATGGGGATGAATTCGGGTCGAGAAATGGGCAAAAGAGGGTTGAGTGGGGTGCCAAGACTTAAGATGAGAGATGAGAGGAGGTGTTGAGAACTGAGACAAATGAGAGACAAAGGGTTTGACAGGTTTATAAAGACACACAGTTGGAGGAGATACTGAGCTGCAGGTGGTCAAATCAGTTACCTGGGCCTGGTCCTGTTCCTGAACCTCTGTCACACTAACTACATGAAATAATGAGATAATGAGCACCATGAGAAACAACTATAATGAAAAAATATTCAAAGACAAATTATTGTGAAGGTTAGATTTTGAGGTGCTCTGATATAGAAATCCTTTCATACACAGGGACACGTGTGCACGTTTCAACTGAATAATCTGAGTCTTCATCTTGACATGGAGGAGGAGGAGCTTATTTACCTTTTACACTGATTGATGACGGTGCAAAATGGACACTCTTGTCCTCAGTCTTCATATTCAACCATGGTTAACAAACTATAAGCTTCTATATGCATGTGTTTCTATCACAGAAGGGGTAAAACAAACTTTTTCAATCGAATCTGCAGCTTTCAACTTCATTAGGACAATTGTCTGCAGAGAATTGACACACCTGTCAAGAGTTCCACTTACCAGTTCGGTGCGAGCCCAAATGTGCATGCTCATTGGTTAAAAACAAGAAAGTAGCACTTCAGCAGTACAAGGTAATAAAAGGGAGAGTTTAAAAGAAAGTTGAAAGGTTTTTACTAGGACAACAACAACCTCTTCTCTAGAGAAAACAACCAAACCAAGCCTGGAGTATCCAAAGAGCATGTTTACGTGACAGACGCACAAACCCAGCCGCTCCTCTGCTCCTTTTGTCATCAGCTTCTGTCGCCATTGATGCTCACAGAGAGAAAAGAGGGCAGAGGTGGATCACAGCCGTGTAAAGGAGGAACTGACAGCCTTTATTATCGACACGCTCTTTCTTACACTCGCTCGTTTCGGCAGCTAAGCCAGCGGATGTTGTGTTTACCTGTTGTCGTCTGCTTGAGTCACAAGATTTGTCACACATCTCACACGGTGTTTGTTACGCCCCAGTCTAGGGGTGCCTAGGGCACAACATGAGAAGGCCTCATCATCCCCAAGTCCCAAGTAGCCACAACAACCGAGATTTCAGCTCAATTTTAAAACACAGATTTATTTACATAAATCAGTAAATAACAAAAGATAGACAAAAGAACTAAGGCTGGATGACTAGACTTCAGGGTGGACCAAGGCCAAAACAACAACCAAAAATAATCCTGTCTGAGTAGTAAGTCCTTCCCTAACCAAAACAAAGGAAACAAATGACAAAAGACTTACCTCCCTAACTAAAATACACAGGAGAAAATAAGTAGTGATGTGTCCTTCAGTGCCGAGGCTTCGAAGCGTGTGTCGAGTAATGAAGGGGGCGTTTCCGCGAAGCGCGTATCGAGGCTTGCTTCATGTAGGGGTGGAGCCAAAAATGATGACGTCCGAAGCCTCGCTACCCGGCTATACCACGTGACTGGTTCAAGAAACGGTTCACGGGTTTGGCGGATGATTTAACAGGCAGCGAAACGCAATGGAGTCCTGCCCCACTCACAATCCATAGACTCGAGACTTGTTGAAAAGTTGTTTTTAAATAAAAATAAATAAATATAAATGAATTGTTTATGTTTTATTTGTTGTCCCCGTAACAAAAGTACGAACAACAAACTAAGTAACACATTCACATCACAACCCTCTCGATAATTTATGTCCTCTTCCCCTTTTTGACACTGCAACTGTGTCTTAAAGACAAACACCATATTAATAACTTTATCATTTCTGTATTGTATCACAAACACACGGCATCACATCCATTCATTCATTGGATTCAAAGCTTCGCGCACCAAAGCCTCGGGGTGTCTTTGGTTTATCACTCTGTCTGTTTTACATTTATTGTCCACTTGATGGCGCAACAGAGCAAATGAAGCACGACCATGAAGCTTCGGCCCAGGAGGCGAGTAATTGGATGGAAAGCTTCGATGCTTCATGAGGCTTCATCTCGCCATCACTAAAAATAAGGTTAACAAAACTGGCAGTCCACCCCTACTACTGAAGGAAAACACAACACAATACACCATGTTCTAAAGCTGCAAAATAGGGTGGCCGGTTGGGAGAGGAGGAGGATGAGGAACGCCTGGCCTCTGCACATGGCGGCTGCCATCTTGGTTCCTGATATAGTTGGTCTCAGCCAATCACCATCCAGGGCGTAGTCCAACCCACCAATGACCGCGTTGCTGTGGCACACACCTATTTGCATACAAGATTGACACAAAAAAACACAGCACACACACCCAGCAGACACTCAACCAATTATGACCCCAGTCATAACACCCCCACACCCAAGAATTAAACATCCCCCTAAATGTTTAATACCTACGGATTTGAGGAACACCGCAACAAAGCGTCTGCTATCACATTTTCTGTGAGGAGTTTCACGCACGGCAAATAACAGAAGAACGAAGCCCTCATCCCACTCTCTGTTGGACTCGAGGCAGTATTTGCGCATTATGGATTTTAACCCAGGCCAAAAAAAATTGCGCAACACACGATGATATGTCTTTTTAACACCGAGGTGGCCAGCTAAGCTGGAGTCATGTGCTAGACTCAAAATTTGCGCCCGATAGTCTGTCGGCACAACCACCTGATTAACAACGGGTATCTCCCTGGAGTCGGGACTCCACCGTCTCATCAAGACACCGTTGTCCAAGAAAAACACACAAGTCTGGCTGTCGTCCTCGGCGGCTACAACAGAGGACAGACACAAATGTAGAGACGGATCATTTCTCTGAGCATTTATCAACATCTCTCGGGTCACGTTTAAACTCAAGTCTGCGTCAGCAGGAAACACATCAGGCTCAGAGACACATTTTGATACATTTTCACACTCAGTAGCGGGGGACACTGAAAAGGAGGGCTCACCCTCATCTAACGTAGCCATAAACGAATTACATAAATCCCCAGCTTTACCCCATTTACGAGCCTGTGCGTGCGTAACTGCGCACACAGGAAACACATTTGGCACAGACACAGCAGAAGAAACAGAGGTGGGGCAGCAGGCAGACGCAACCGAAATGGGATCGTTAACGACCTCTGGCAGAGGAAACACATTTCCTCCGGCCAGATCGTTACCCAAAATAAACGAAATGCCACTAATCGGAAACCGTGGGAGCACGGCAACTTTCACACGCCCCGACGCGAGCGGTGAATGCAAGTGAATCATGTGAAGTGGGGCGTTAAGTTCGCTCATTTTAATTCCCCACACTAACAAATCAGAGAAACATGAAGTTTCATTTGAGAGTGGCAGAACACTAGCCAGAATGAATGAATGATAGGCGGCTGTATCTCGGAGAATAGTTACCGGTACTTTATCCGCTTCCTCGCCAGTTACAGAAACAAATCCTTGCGAAACGAACGGTTTGAAACGAGGGTCAACCTCCACATTTACCTCGGCTTCAGGTAAAGACTCCGGGAGTGTTACAGGCGGGGACACGGTGTTAATGAAACCCACACCTGCAGGAGGTTTACCGTTTTTGTGTTGTCCTTTTTTTCTAAGAGTCGGACATGCAGCGATCAAATGGCCTGGCTCGTGGCAATAAAAACACTCGCGGCTCTCACCCGCAGCTGGTGAGGTGCTTTTACGCATCAGCTTTGGCGATCGGTTTCTGCGCTCAGACATTGGATGTAAAACACGAGGTGTTGGCAAAGAAAAAACGCTTTTATGAGTCAAAATGAACTCATCGGCGAGCACAGCTGCTTTCGTTACCGATGACTCCTTTTGCTCATTCAAATATACGACAATTCGCTCCGGCAAACACTTTTAAATTCCTCGAGCAAAATGAGCTCTCTCATTTCCGCCATAGTTTTAATATTACACGCGTGGCACCATCAAACAGAACGCTCTTGTCACGCACAAATTCAACATAGGTCTGGTTGGCAGTTTTCTCACTATTTCTAAATTTTTGCCGATAGGCTTCAGGGACCAGCTCGTAGGCCTGCAACACAGTCTTTTTCAAGATTTTATAATCAAGACTATCCTCAATAGACAGACTGGCACAGACTTCTTGAGCTTTCCCCACTAATTTACACTGGAGGAGAAGGGACCAGAACTCTTTAGGCCAACTAAGGGCAGCAGCTATCCGCTCGAAAGCGCTAAAATACGAGTCCACCTCGGACTCACGAAACGGAGGGACTAAAGCAATGTGCTTACTTATGTCAAAAGCGGGAGCAGAAACAGAGCTGCGGTCAACAGGAGACACTGGGGTAGAGGCTACAAAGGCTCCTTTTTCCAGCTCGAGAACCCTTAAGCGTAGATGCAAGGCTTGTACCTCTAGCTGTTTGTTTCGGGTCTCGGCCTCCTTTGCTTGTACCTCTAGCTGTTTGTTTCGGGTCTCTGCCTCCTTTATTTGGAGTGCTATGCGGAGATCCTCTGTGGTCATGGTACCCATGAGAGGATCCGTGACCGGCCCAAGTTCCGCACCAGCAGCGAGCGTGCCAGCAGCCCCCGCCGCTTTCACCTCAGCCCCCGGTGCGACACTAGCCACGTCACCCGCAGCAACCGCATCAAGCGCTGGTTTAGGTAAGACGCCCTGCTCCACCAACTGTGCACACAGCAACTGCTTGAGCTCTGCTTTATTGACATTGTATGGTATTTGTACATTAAAGTAATTTGCCACAATCAACAGGTCTGCTTTCTTACATTTTTCAATTTTTGCAAAAGAGGGACTGGCCATAAAATCATCCAGTGAAAAATCCATAATTCGCCCCACACACAAAAAAAAACTACCAACCAGAAAAGTATATACTCACCGAACAAAACGCGACAAGAAGACGGTCGAGCCCCCAATTCATGTTACGCCCCAGTCTAGGGGTGCCTAGGGCACAACATGAGAAGGCCTCATCATCCCCAAGTCCCAAGTAGCCACAACAACCGAGATTTCAGCTCAATTTTAAAACACAGATTTATTTACATAAATCAGTAAATAACAAAAGATAGACAAAAGAACTAAGGCTGGATGACTAGACTTCAGGGTGGACCAAGGCCAAAACAACAACCAAAAATAATCCTGTCTGAGTAGTAAGTCCTTCCCTAACCAAAACAAAGGAAACAAATGACAAAAGACTTACCTCCCTAACTAAAATACACAGGAGAAAATAAGGTTAACAAAACTAGCAGTCCACCCCTACTACTAAAGAAAAACACAACACAATACACCATGTTCTAAAGCTGCAAAATAGGGTGGCCGGTTGGGAGAGGAGGAGGATGAGGCACGCCTGGCCTCTGCACATGGTGGCTGCCATCTTGGTTCTTGATATAGTTGGTCTCGGCCAATCACCATACAGGGCGTAGTCCATCCCACCAATGACCGCGTTGCTGTGGCACACACCTATTTGCATACAAGATTGACACAAAAAAAACACAGAGCACACACACAGCAGACACTCAACCAATTATGACCCCAGTCATAACAGTGTTGAACAGAGATTTTCGGCTCTTATCTCGTATCTACTGGAGCAAAAATGACAGAATACTCACACGGTAAAACCTTTTCCGTGATATTAAAGCTACAATATGCTCATGTAAGAAGCATTAGATAATATTAATCCAATCACAGACTTATTTCAGTCCTGTGACGGCAGGATTTATGTCCGTTTTTAAAGAGCGTTTCTCTCATTGATTGTCCTCCAGATTTAAAGCTGGAGAACAAACCTGATTGAAAAACAGGGTTTGTAAACTTCCTGTCAGAAGTATGTATTTGTTCCTGGTGTAGCTTCATCTCCTGCTTGAATGTCAGCCACCTCTCCCCTCAGGTTTGTAGAATATTGTGTATAAAACAAATTATCTTTCCAAAGGTTTCACATGAAACTAATGAAACCTAACTGATAAGGGAATTGAGCTGAAAATCATCTCCTCCAGTGTCAGGGATGTAATCTGTCTCTCTGACAGTGCTATGATTCAACAGAATAAACAATGTGTGTGTTCGTGTGTCAGCGTATGTGGGTGTGCGACAGAAAGCAACACTTTCTCGCTGTATTGGGTCTGAGGAGTGCATTTGTTCCAGTTATTGAGTTTTTTTTCTTTCTCTC